CACACACACACACACACACACACACACACACACACACACACACACACACACACACACACACACAATATAGAAGGGGCTGTGTGTTAAAAAAAAAGTGACGCTCGGTGTGGAAGAACTATGAACGTACAATTTTAAACTTTCAATGATTTTTCAGTAATTTATCGCATTTCTAAATGCTTTGTTTCCCGAAAAATTCTTTCTTGGCACTTGCTTGTATCCGGGGACAGAAATTTCCTCCGAGAACACTTGTGTATGGTGACTTGTCTCTGGCAGGTTCATTTTTTTTCTGTCGTTCTGTAAAACAGGCGCTGCTGAACGAAGGCCGCAGTTGCCTTTGCTTTTGTTTCTTGAAATGAGACCTGCCAGCGTACGATCGTGCACTGTGAGCCTCATGTAGGAAATTAGGAATAAAAAAAGCACCAAACACTGACCGCCTGTGTGTTTGTCTGTGGGATGTTGGCTTCTGAAACTTGCTTGATTTGCAGTTGAAGGTTGTGTATCCGTTGATACGAGCACAAGTATTTGCAGATATTGACGAGGGGGAAGAAGAGGAGTGAGACGGCGGACGGAAGGACGGCAGTAGCTTTGAGATTCTAGAGAGGGTGGTGACGGTTCATAAGCATGCTGTGAAGTGAGTAGTGTTTACAGATTGTTTTGATGAATTCAATCAAATTGAGCTAGCTTTGCTTCTAGCTATATGTCTTGCAGTCATTATCTTTGACATTGCCGGATTTCTTTCTTGCCTATTTTAGCCTTTTTCGCTTGATGCCCTTTTCTCATCAAAGCCGAATAGCTGCAGACAGTCCTGTTGTTTCAGGAACATCATTCTCCTCCTCCTTGCTAACAGTGATTTCTCTTTTCCCTTCTGCCCTTCACCAATCTATACTTCATAACCTGTCCTCCACCGGATGGACTGGTGATGAATCATCATGATGCCAGTCGCTGCTACCTTGAGACATGCCTTCATTCTGGCTGTCTCGTGATGAACGAGTCATCACAATGATTCAAATACTTCTTGATATCTTTGCAGCCAACAATGTGTTTGTAAGAGAGAGAGAGAGAGAGAGAGAGAGAGAGAGAGAGAGAGAGAGAGAGAGAGAGAGAGAGAGAGAGAGAGAGAGAGACAATGGTGGGAGAAGAAAACTGGAAAGAGCACGGTGAGTGAAGGATGGAGATCACAAGAAGTGGGTGTGTCGGTGTCGCAGGATGCTCGGAGGTAAGGGAGATTATGTGTCAATTTGTGGAAAGCGGTGCAGTGTTAGTAATAAGAATATTACAGATTATTGCAGCAAGGGGTGGGTGTTAGATGACATGAAGTTATAGTGACTTCGTATACGGATCAACCGAAGACAGAATGGTGGTCGTGTATTCCATACCCTTTTATGCTTTTTTAAGAAGGTTTTGCCAATTAATATGGACTTCGTATGAAGAGATGTGGTCATCACTTGTCAGGACAACCCATGATGCCTGCATTCCATCTGCAGCAGGTTTGTAATCGCCATGCACTCCAGCGTTACTATGGTTCACCAGGTCCAGCCATAACCGATCATATAGATGGTCTGTTGCCACCCATAGCATGCTCATGATACCTTCCTTACCTTTCCGGACTGTCAGAACGACAAGACAACCCACAGGTGCAACAGGCGCGGCAAGGCGGCAGAGCGCAGACAAGGCAGTCTACACATCCAACACGGAGCAAAGCGGCCAGCACATCGCCTACTCACACTGCAGGCAAACCCCGCAGACTGTTGGTTCCTACCCACCTGCTGAGCCAGGGAGTCGCCCAGATGGATGTCTGTCATCAGCCATTCACCATATGCAACACACAGACATCACGAACTGAGCGGCTCCCCTAAGAGTCCTGCAGGCGCTCCAAACAACGGACCACCTACCGTTTAGCACTTCTTGAAGGTGCTCACTCAGACACGGAAAGTAAGCAGCAAGAACGACATACAGATAAAACAGCGAGAAAAAAAGGCAAACAAACAAGCCGAAAGAAAGACATACATCGTGGGTTATGTGTGTGTGTGTGTGTGTGTGTGTGTGTGTGTGTGTGTGTGTGTGTTTACGCGTACGACAGTCCAGCCCGTAGTCCAATACCATCGTCACGACTTACACACATATCACTTGTGGAGTATGAGGATTTCTTTTGGTAAACGCGCTCCAAAAGGAAGAACCACAGCACACATAGGCTGGAGGGCACAGGGGGAGGCGGGAGGGCATACAGCACACGAGGCACTACGGGAAAGATGAGGTGACAAGGCAATGGATGACTAGCCGCAGCGAAGGACAAAGGCTGGAGGGCACGGCACGCAAAAACATGAGGTGATGAGGCATAGGATGACAATCAGCAGCGAAGGATAAAGGCTGGAGGGCGCGGGGGAGGCGGAAGGGCAGACAGTGCACAAGGTACTAAGGAAAAGACATGAGGAGAAAGACATAGGGCGTCAAACAGCAGCAAAGGACCAAGAATCAAGGGCACGGGGGAACCGGGAGGGCAGACAACACACAAGCACATCAAGCAGACGATGCACAAGTACACCAAACAGACCAAGCAGACGACATGCAAGCACACTGAGTGGACCAAGCAGACAAGACACAAGCACACCAAAAAAATACGAGTCCATTTTTTTTTTCAAAGACTGAAAAAAATAAAACCGATGATAGATTGTTTCGTTGGAGTTGCACCGACTCATCAGGAGGCTGAACCCTCTAACAATCTGCGGAATCTCCGAATTTGGTGGCTTGGGACCTTTGGGTCATGAACCCTTTGATCCTTTTTGAAGGCAGACGGTCCCCAAATGGAACACAGCAGCCGGTGGCAACTCAGCGAAGCACCAGGCAACGCTGCAGAGGCAACAGGGCTGCTCAACACGAAAGACGACTGCCAGGAACGACATGGCAAGCGGACGAGCAGCACAGCAACCGTGCAGTGAAGCACAAGGCAACTCAAGCAAGGCAGCCAAACAGCACGACACACAAGCAAAGCACACGGAAAGAACGGCATGCGGATGGGCAGCAAGGCAGCGGTGCAGCGAAGCACAATGCAACACCAACACTGCAGCCGCGCCACGTCTGTGTCTGTGTCTGTGTGACACTGCAGCCCCCTACCAGTATTGCAGACACTTCAAACAAGGAGGCATTGACTATTTGGGACTTCTTAGGAGTACTCACTTGCACAGAGAGGAAAAAGCACATTGAAAAGATCATTGGAACTATGCGATCCAGCGTGCCACTTCTTCTTGTCCTTCTGTGTTTTTTTCACTTTTTTAGTATTTACCTTTGTTTTCATTTTCTTCTTCGTTCTCCTTTTCTCTTTCTTTTTCTTGTGTTTTATTTTTGCTTTCCATGTTTCAAATTTTAATAGACTCCAAGGCTAAACACATTGTACCAATTGTCATTTGAAATACTATGCCAACATACCCCCAATTTCCGGCGCTAGAAATTGGAGGCCAATCAGTTGGATTACCACCCAGTTGTATTTGCCTGAAGCACTGCTGACAACCAGTGCCTGCTTCTTCAGATAGTACTGCGGTAGTAGCATGGCGAGATACAAAACCAGCCTCAGTGCCCCATCAGGGCCTGAACAGAACAGAAGCATGCTGCAACTCAGTTACTTGCCGCGATCTGTCCGCTCTTGTTTCCGCGATTTGTCCGCCCTTGTTTCCACGATTTGTCCGCCCTTGTTGCCGCGATTTTTCCGCCCTTGTTTCCACGATTTGTGCGCCCTTGTTTCCGCTATTTGTCCGCCCTTGTTTCCGCGATTTGTGCGCCCTTGTTTCCACGATTTGTCCGCCCTTGTTTCCGCGATTTGTCCACCCTTGTTTCCGCGATTTGTCCGCCCTTGTTTCCGACCAGTCATTCCTTCTTCTCATTGCACTAACATTTCAGCTGGGCTCGGTGTCGTTAACCATAGCAACTGTACAATTACAGGATGCAGAGGAGGCAGGCAGAAGGCTAGCAGCTGACAAAACTTCATAAAAGGAGATGAAAGCAAAACTAAAATGGAGTGATGCCCAAGCGGGCTAGCTGAGTTGGTTGAGCACGTAAGAGGCACTCGGGAGGTCATTGGTTCGATACCCCACGCCTTGCTTTTGATCCCCATGGCCTCCTGGGGGTATATGCTACTAAGCTATAACATTAACAACCACGTTTCCATAATCGTGGCCATATATATGGTGTGAACTTGTGAAGTACTGATGTGACTTCCGTTCTCACAGTGGGCCCACAGGGCCCTTTTGTTTTCTGTTTCTCATTTTCTTATTGTCGGCCTGCCCCCCTGTGCCGGACCCCTGGAACTTGCGGTATTGCCATATTGGTTATTTTCCCAAATTGGACTACAGAGCTGGTTTAAGCACTAAGACAAAAACAAAACAAAAAAAAAACAGTTAAAACTTAAAAATAAAAATAAAAAAATAGAGTGATTATGACCACTTCAAAAAATATAATTATCCACCACAAAGTTCGACCGTGAGTGAAGCATAAAATATTCTTCTTCTTCTTTGCAATTGTCGCCACTGTGGAGTTATGGAAGCCTCCAAAGTTGACTTGGACTTAACTACTGATTTGAGCCTTAGTGACATATAAAAGATTCTTCTCTTTTTTTTTTTTTGAGGCTTAGTGACATATAAAAGATTCTTCTCTTTTTTTTTTTTTTTGAGCCTTAGTGACATATAAAAGATTCTTCTCTTTTTTTTTTTTTTGTGCCTTAGTGAAAGTCTCCAAAGTTGACTCGTATGTAACTGATTTGAGCCTTATTGATCGTAATGCAACCTACTCTTTTTTTTTTTTTTTGAGCCTTAGTGACATATAAAAGATTCTTCTCAATTGTCGCCACAGTGGAGTAATGAAAGTCTCCAAAGTTGACTTGTATGTAACTGATTTGAGCCTTATTGATCGTAATGCAACCTAACTCTTTAATTGTCTATACCGTACTGTTTTTCCTTTACGGACGGAAGAGCAGACACGTAATTACAGCATGCAGAGCCACACAGCAGGCTAGCAGGTGTATAATTACAGCATGCAGAGGAGCCAAGCAGCGGGCTTTCCTTGTCAGTGATTCTCTCCTGCCATCGTCAGTTTGTTGCCTTCGTGAGAACAAAACGAAGATAAGGTTCAGCATGGCATGCCCCCAGGATGGATATCTTCTCACCTCCCTCCTCCTTGAAGATCCTTTGTCTGGACCTGCCGGTTTCAGTTCTCGTTGCCACATACATACGTTCATACTCCCGTCGCCCACACTACCGACCTCACCGGAATAGAATGCCCGGTCATTATAGCTGTATTCGGTGCAACTTTCAGTCCAGATGCGGCAATAATTACCGGGCATTGTATTCGGGTGAAGACGGTAGTTGGGCAACAGAACGCCGAATGATGCCAGCTCGCATCTCTCATTTTTGCTAGGGTCTATTGACTCTATTGTCTCCATAGGTCTGGACGTATGGACTCCCGTCTGTGCCAGCGCTCTGTGCCAGTGCTCTGTGCCAGCGCTCTGTTCCAGTGCTCTGTGCCAGTGCTCTGTGCCAGCACTCTGTTAGAATGGTCTGTGCCAGCACTCTGTTAGAATGGTCTGTGCCAGCATGTGTGCATATTAGATCCGGACGTACAGGCTTACAGTCTGAGTCAGCAGTTTGCACTACCGTCTTCCCCCCCCGCACATAATACACCTTGATAATGAATGTGTACAAGCTGTATTTCCGACCCGGTACAGCCATAATGGGGGTGCGTTGTGTTCGGGGGAAAAGAAGGTAGCAGTCTATGCCAGCATGTCTGCATGTATTTGGATATATGAACTCCAGGCATCAGGTGATTAGTTGTACTGTATATCCTGACATGTGGCGTACCGTATGCCTGGGCATATGAAGTGTAGATGGTTGGCAATTGGGCACACTCCACCCTTACGAGTGAGGGTGATTTTTTGTTTACTTGGTCTCACAAGCAGGTGTCTGTGTGGGCAACCCCATTCAGATGATGACGCGCCATTCTGAGCTTGTTCAGTCTCTCTAGTGACTGCCCCTGTGTGCTACCCTGAATGAAGGCAGCTGTTGTCACAACTTGTCAGTGTGCTTTTTGTTCCTCCTCCACCCCATGTGAGTGAGCACCTGCTTCCCCTCCCGATGTGTGTGTGTGTGTGTGTTGATGTGTGTGACACATGACCTCAGCCATCAAGCTGCACACAGAGACATAGTTTTCCCCAGGAAACAGACTCAACATAACCTCCCAGAGATGTGTTTGAAAGCTTCACCTTGGCGATCAAGCTTCACACCGAGGCGTAGTTTTCCTCGAGGAACACACTCGACATAACCTCCCAGAGGTTGCCCCCCAAACGGAACACAGCAGCAGGCAGCAACCCAGTGAAGCACCAGGCAACGCTGCAGAGGCAACACGGCTGCTTAACACCAAAGACAATTGCAAGGAACAACATGGCAAGCGGACAAACAGCACAGCAACCGTGCAGTGAAGCACAAAGCTATGCAAGCAAGCGGACAAACAGCACAGCAACCGTGCAGTGAAGCACAAAGCTATGCAAGCAAGCGGACAAACTGCACAGCAACCATGCAGTGAAGCACAAAGCTATGCAAGCAACGGAACCACGCTGCAAGGAATGACACGGCGAGAACACAAGCAGTCCGGCAACCGTGCAGCGAAGCACAAGGCCACACCAACAAGGCAACCAAACTACAAGACCTGCAAGCAACACACACGTAAAGCACGGCCAGCGGATGGGCGACAAGCCAGCGGAGGAGTGAAGCGCAAGGCAACACCAACAACATGGCCACACCACATAGCGAACACAGGACCCTGCAGAGAACCACATGAGAAGCAAGCGGGACAGGCAGCGAGGCACCGGCGGAGCGCAGATGAGGCAGTCCACACATCCAACGCAGAGCAAAGCGGCACATCACCTACTCACATCACGATTGAACACCGCAGACTGTTGGTTGGTGGTGGGCAGTTGCAGGCAGTCACTCAGACAAGCATCCGTCATCACCCACAGGAA